AACACCTATATGTGATGATCATTCATCATTGATTGACCAATTAATTATTTAATTGAATAAATGATGACATGGTGAACAGATGACATAACAAAGGTCACATTAAGCATGAACTCTCACCGTTGAATGCCAGCTCAGAAATGACGATATATTTTCTGTTGTTTACATCAGATATATTATCAAACATGGCATCTAGCACTAGAAATGCTATCAAAGCTAAAAATGCAACAACACCCACTCCAGAACCATATCCACAGGCGCCACCATCAACATAAGGGCATCCTTTGCCATTTTGGTTGGTGGCTATGCATCCAAACACAACAATTGAAAAGATCTAAATTTTAGTTGAATTTATTGGTTCATTAGGTGAAAATTTAATTCATAATAATAATGTGGGTGTTTGTTCCATGGCTCATTAGGTTTTATGAGATGCTGAACAATTAATTCATGACCAACAAATAAAGATTGTAAATAAAGAAGACTGATGTTTCAAGTTAATTTTGAACACTTTCATTTAATGAGAACTAAGGAGTCCAGTGGGAAAAATTGAAGTATAAAAAACTTCAAGATAAATTTGCATACCAGAGTCAGCTAGTTAAACAACAGAAATTTTGAAAGTGCTGAGCTAAGCTATTGTTGCAATTTGCTAAATGAAAATAGAGAATATTTAAATTGTTTTATCAAATCATTTTTAATATATACAATTTTAATTTGATTTACGACTGATACAAGCTTCCATATTATAAATGCATCCTGAAACATCATTTAATCAATTTTTGTGATTCAACAAATTTGGGTGGAAGTTAGCATTTAACACTTTATTTTAAAACAACTTGTCTTATAATAAATAAGCAATACATACAAAACATTATACATATATTCAACTTAATATATTACCAAGTCTTAATAATTTTACTTTAAATTATTTTATATGCTCTCTCATGTGTTTATTTTATTTACTTAACTCTGCTCAAATTCTTTCAACTAAAGTGTAAAGTCTAATAATTTATAATGAAATCAGACTTTAAGGAAATTATAAAGGAAAAAGTGTGCTAAGCTATGGATGTTTTTCAAAATAATTTTAACATTCAAAAACACATAACTTAATTTCTAACATTTAAAATTCATTAAACCACGCCAGCATAACTACAACAAATGAATTTTTAATTTAAAAATAATCTGTTCAATTAAATTAAATTAATTTCAATACTATATAATATATATATACATTTTACAATTTTAATAATATTAATTATTAATTAATAATTAATAGCAGCATTCCCCATAACTACTACTAACAACATAATAACATATGACTAACATTGTTTTTGTTAGTAACTACTAACCGTCAGTTACTACTTACTATAATTTTATAGTATAAAATTTATACTAGCAATTTTATTTAGAATTTACATACATATTTTATTATACAGCCATACTATAAAATTTAAAAGTACTTAGAATTCAGAATTGTCTACCAACAATAGCAATTATCCTTAGCAGGACGAGTGGTTTCTTGAGAAATGATATTAAATCGAACTCGTTGATCCCACCATATTGACCATAAGAATTGTACGCACTTCTGCCAGCATCCATTTTGTTATCTGGTAACCGCCGACAAATCAAAATTATTGTTGTTGCTGTTGCATGATCGTTGGACGATTGCCCACCCTCTTGTTTATTTAATAATGGGGATGTTCCAATCTAAGCAGTTATCAATAACCTCGATGGTTACTGATGTGTTGGTTTTTTTTAAATTTTAAGTTCTTTAATTATGCTGAGATTATATACTTTTGTTGCCAAATTTACAATTCATTATAAAAGTATAAGTTGATGTAAAATAACGAACGTGACGGAAAAATACTATTTGATGAATAATAAATAACAAAGCTGATAGAAGAGCTCTCCAGAGGTTTAGATCATCGGTAACAAAATTTGACATTAAAGTTTTTGTTCTGACATTAAACATAACATTTGCCAATCACCAAACTTTTGCTACCTAGGACTCATCTGCATCGATTAAAATGGTTGTGTAAAATGCCATGATTTCAAAATAAAAAAAATAGAACTGTTGATAAAATGAGAAGATATATTCGAAAATTTAATTCAGTCTTCCATAGAAAGTTCTGCATTTCGTAACTGCAGCACTGATAAATTCGTTTGTAAACAAAACAGCTGATCCTAGCCTTGCTAACTTGGTAGCTGATTCCGATTAGTTTTACGAATCATTTAACAATAAAAACCAAAAAGTAATAATAATAGCGCCACTGCATAAAATGTTATGATGCTATCAAACAGTTTGTTTACGCTGTTAAGACTTTCGAGTCGTAAGAAGATAAATCTTCTTGATAATTTTAATTTCAATTTGAAAACAAAACGGAATTTTAAATCTATTAATCTTTTTAGAAAATTTACGTTCAACATTGATCTCGAAGAAACAATAAAAACAGGAAAATTGGTTCCGAAAATTGAATTAAATTCAATTGGTGTGTCCAGTTTATTAGGCGAACGATCGTTTAACGAAGATCGAGTAATCGCTGTTCAACTATGTCCGCACCTACTGATGTTTGGAATATTCGACGGTCACGGTGGCCCACAAGCAGTAGATTTTGTTGCAACAAAAATTAAACCTGCTATTGACGAACATTTGGCAAGTAGTCAAGATTTGCCACAAATTTTAAAAAAAGTATTTCTTCACCTAAATGATTCATTTATCAAACAAGAAATCACAAAGCTAAATATACGTAATTTTATATTTTTGGCTTTAAATTTAACTTTGTAATTATATAAAATTTCGTCATTTATTCTATCATATTTGGATTTCAAGTTATTAAGTTGGTGCAAAAATAATGTCGGTTTTATACCGCCACTGTGGTAATGTGGCAATTATAGATATTAAAATATTAAATAAAATAAAAACCATTGCAATCCACATACGCTCATCTGACAATGAGAAATAAATTAATTGGTGGCAGTAGCATAATAATTAGCGATTCTGAAGACAATGAACTGTAAGATTGCGTATTTTGTGGTGTCTTTGGTTTTGAAACACTGTTTCTACAAAAGATTGTTTAGATGCTCAAAAAAAAATTTGTTGGCGAGAGGTGTGGTAAATATAACGAATAAAGCAAAGTCCCGGCCCCTTATAAAATATTGACTCCGGCTAAAATCTCTGGCTCCGACACTTTGCTCGTAACCCAGCTTTTTCACCCGGCGTGGTGTTGGCGTTATTGTAGAGGTTGGCGGCAGTGCAACTTTCCATTAATTGATCCGTTCTGTCGACAATCAAACCGTTATCATTAGCTTACCCTTGTACAATTTCCGTTTTGAGAGTTTTGGACTGTCATCTTGATCCAGCCACCGAGCTGAACGTCATAATCCGTTCAAGAAACGCATCGTTTTTATTTTGCAAAAAGTTCATCTGACATCTCAAAACGGCGAAGTTTTTTATTTCTATACAGCTCATTTATCAAATCATTTGACCTTATCACTTTGTTTTAAATGACGAACTTATGTTTTTTCAATGATGTCTACTTTGTTGAGGAACTGCCACTGTTTACCTTTTTTTTCATTTCATAACTCTTATTCCTATTCATTCTGTCTAGCAATTCTCCAAGACATCTCTTGCCTGCTTTATGTTTAGATAATTGTCACTACTTTTTTCAAATACCAGCTTTTCAATTTATGGTTAAATTCAATTAGCTTTCTTTAAATTATTTTCGTATTGTATCGTTGGCTATTATGGCGCCATTTATAATACATCCGTTAGTTTTTTTAAAGTCAATTTGTTTCAATTTTATATTTTGCTTGCTTTCGACAAAACTTCACCACACACATCATTATTTTATCTTTCAGTATTTTCAAATTTCATTAAAAACGTATTTTTTGTTTTTGTAAATACTGTTACAAAATTATAAAATAAACTTGTACATTTTTTAAATGCACCAGAAAAGAATAAACTAGAAGATAACCCTCAGTTCAGTGGCACAACTGCAACTGTGTGCTTGATCAGGAATGGGTATGATTTATGTGTTGCTCATGTAGGTGATACTAGAGCCACGTTATGTCGATCTAACAGAGCAATACGACTCACACAAGATCACAAACCAGACTTGCGAAGAGAAATGGATAGGTTATTTATATATACTAGTTTACGGCTTTATGTTCATCATTACCAATTTTTCACGACAGAATTATCAAATGCAACGGTTCTTTTTCATGGTCGAGTTTTGGAAAATCTCGGGTGAACGGACGACTTGAAATGACAAGAAGCATCGGTGATCAAGATCTCAAACCCTTCGGGGTAACCGCCGAACCCGACGTTGTTGTTATGAAGGTTAATTGAAGTTCACATAACGTTAAACGCTTTTGCTGTGGTATGTTCATGGATAAATATAAAAATAATATGAAATACCAGTGAAAAGCGATCAAGAAAAAGCGTAAAAATAATCAATTTTATGGACATCTACTTTTTACCTCTTGTTAAAATATTTAATTCTATTTTTATCTGCTTTATGCGTTTGTTGACGCGAACTAAAGCTTATTGTTGACAAAAAATTTTCAACATTTAATGTTCGATAGAATGTACTCTAAATGAAATCTTATTCAGACTTTGAGATATATGTGTTGATTTCACGTGAAAATGTTGAACAATATGTACAAAATGGCAAGAACATTTATACGTTCAAAAATAATATGCTTATTGATTTTTACCAGATCAGACACAGTACGGACTCGTTTCTCTTGTTGACAACCGATGGTACCCACAGCAAACTGAACTCTGTTGAAATTGTTCAAACCGTTTTAAACGCTGAAAGTACAGACGAAGCTGCTCATCACCTATCTGATCTGGCTCTTTTTTACGGCTCTAAAGATAACTGCACTTCAATGGTCATTCCTTTGGGTGCATGGGGCAAGCACCACTTCGATAACCGAATTGGTTATTTTCAAGGCTCGTCAATATTTCCAAGGTTCTGAATTTCATTGTACGTGTAATAGCTTCCTTGGTGCCTTAATGAAACACACACACAAAGATACATATATATATATTCGTTTCACGCTGCCATTATAATCTTGAAAATGTTGAGAGGAAAAGGTTGTAATTTTTTTTCTAATTTCATTTTATGTTGAAAAGTATTTTCACTTTTAATAGCGTAATAAAAATTAATTCATTTCGCGTTTGTTTTTTCTGAAATGGTTTGAACGAAGAAATAAAATCCTAGTACTCAGAAACACAAATTGGAGTCACCCAAAGAATTGAAACGACTTGACCTAAGCGTTGTACTGGGACGTTGGTGTCATTATGAACATAAACTGCTAGGGCATCCCCACATCAATGATGCGTGATGCCACTGCTGCTGACCGAAGTTCACAGGGCGGATCTAGACAACTTTGACAAATTTAAACATATGAAATGTTGACGGGGGTGGCTAAGAAACTTGAAATTCATGGTAGTTTGGCAAAAATTAGACTGGCGACATTTTTTGCTCATCACGCCATTTTTTGTCGATTTCCTATATAAAACGGTGTTTTTTCCAATAAAATAAGTTTATAATTGGACGAATACCTTAAAACATCAGCATGGAATACCATGGGCTCATCACACATCTCACGAGTGTAATAAAATATTAACAAAGGCTTGAAATAATTGAAAAACAAAGTGTATTTAATCACATCATCACTTACCCAAACTCAAAAAATAAGAAATCATTTTATTTTATCCCAGTTGATTTTTAGAACTCGACCAGTGTTATCAACACAATATGCAGAACCAACGATGACGCTAAGCGAAAAATGCTAAAAATTTTGATAGCCAAATAACGATCGTGCATGCTACTATTTGTGAATTTTTTAAATAAAAAAGCGACTTTTGAAAATTATATACAATCACAATGTGATGATTGCATTTTGCAGTGACAAGTGATGAGTAATAGAATAATAAGTTACATTCATCCAAAAGAATTGCAAATAATAATTTTAAAGGAAATTTAAGCAAATAAAATAATATATTACAAATATTCATAATGTTAAATAAAACAAAATCTATCCTACAAATTCTTCGTATCAGTAATTTTGGCTGTGTTGCCAACCAACACCATTCCAGCCCTGAAAAATTAATTTGAATAAAATAAACCGTTTATCAAATGGTAGTAAAAAAATATTAATTTTTAATTGATCTTAATAACAAACGATTTTTCTTTTTTTTTTTTATAAAACCTCAAGATTAACATATTTTGATGTAGCCTGTTGAGAAACAAACAGCGTTTGAACTTTGAACTATCATATATTATCTTCTATAAAAATATCATACATATTTGAGATTCGACAAAAAGAAATAAGCTTAGGATTTTATTAGAGAGGGGCATGTTATATTTCATTTTCAAGCCACTATTTTGACACCTAAAAATTACAAAAGGATGATCAGCCACCCTTAAGAAGTGGAGTATCAAACGATTGAAGATATCTTTTAAAAATAATACTTAAGCTTAAATAAAATAGTTATATATGATGAGAAGTTAAATACCGTACAGCAATTCATGCCATTCAAAAAATTTAAATTAAATGAGATATCCAGTTTAAGATGAAAAACATATCCTAACATGATTCTGATTCACTTTCATCCTATGAATATTTTCCCACCCATTATCTCCAGCACTTCTTATCATAGAGTGATTGGTTATATATTGGTTTGGAACTGATTGGGTAAGAAATCCATTTGTGAAACTGTATTTGAAAGGCATTGCTGAAGGTTGCTGTGAATTATGGATAACATATTTCAATAACAAATAAAGAAGTTAATAAATTTCAAATAAGGTAGCAAAACATACAAGAATGGGTTGATCGTATATTTCCGTTATAACAGGAGGTCTGAGCGGGGAAATTATATCTAGATGTGGTCTAATGATTTCTGGAGGTCTTACATTCATGACTTGTGGTAAGTAAGTACTGGGTCTAGTTGCAATCATTCCATTACTGTCTGAATTTGATTCTGTCATAAATCCAGCTGGCATAAGACTTCCGCAGCCAACCCTCCAATCACCATTTCCAATTTCTCCATGGTGGTACGAACCTTGCCAGGTATGAGATGGATTGAAATTTAAAACGGCGTTTTTGTTTTGTATTAAATTGAAATTATTTTGAGTGTTAGAGGAGGAAGGGAGGGAAGTTGGAGGTCCTGCGATTCTTTGCTTTTTACTTCGTAGTTCGGTTCCTATTGGTTGAAGTGATCGCCTATCTTCTGCATTTGGTGAAGATGAATTACTTGATGTCTTCATACTTTCTTCAAAGCAAACATTCGATGAATCTAAGACAATTATGAGCACAATATAAAAAATGTATAAATGATTTCAAAAGATGTTTTTATATTTGATTTAAAAACTAAAGTAAATCTCACCTGGAATAAGTTCTGTAATTATGGGAGTGGTGTTTGAATTGAAGTTCTTACTGGTTCCTTGACTGACTGGGTGTGCAAACAGAGGCATTTTTACATCCACAGGGAATCTGTTAATTGTTGACATGTTTGTCGGATTGAACAAACCGTAGTTAGATGCTCTCATTATCGGCATCGAATGACTGTGTAGTTGGTAGGGAGGTAATTGAGGACCAGTTACAATCATGGGGGAAGAATCTAAATCAAATGACGTCTTGGAAGTGAAATCGGGAGCATTTGGGTTTAAATTACTGTCTATGTGTGGCAAAGTCATTGGATTTTTCAATGATGCATATTCATTTCGATGAACTTGGATAGAAGATGAATTAATAGGAAAGTTTGAAGCGTCAACAACTTTCGTAATATTTTTGTAGTAGACATCAGGTTCAGTTACAGACGGTTCCGAACTAGATAGGACCATTTGAATATGATTATCACCCTCGCTTCCTATAAATGGCAATCTAACTTCATCATTCATGGGATACGTATTTATTTTCAATGTTTTATTCTGAGCCTCAACATCGCCAAAAGGCATTTTTCTTGGTGATGATGAAGAATTATTTATGGATGGTCTGTAGCCAGGTGCTTTTGCCTGCAGAGCTATATCAACGTGAGTTTCGCAAGTATTTGAGCTAAAGGGTTGATTGATGTCAGTTATACCACCTACTCTATCAGAAAACGATGTCCCAACATTATCATCTCCGGTTATAAAAGGAGAGTAGTTACCCTTCTGTAACAACGTTGAAATGGTTTCAAGAGAGTTATTTTCAGGTTGCGGAGCTGGTTTACTTTCATTGGCCCAAGAAATAGAACTATTAGATAGGGCAGATGACTGCTTACTTTTTTCTTCAAAATTACCATCATCTTCTTTGGACTTGGAGGACTGCGTTTTGCTGCTAGTTGAAAGAACATCTACTGACGATTTGCATGCAGAACAGGAATTTACAATATTCACACTATTTAAAGTCTCGTTAAGTCCAGACGCAGATTTTAAAAGTTTAACGTTATCCAAATTTGTTGATTTTGTCAAACTCCAAGCATCGGTTGTTGAAGCCTTGTCAATTATTTTGTTGTGCAGATGAGATTTAATTGTCCCATTTTGAGCACTACCTTTATCAAGTGGCTGATGGTTAGATGCCGATGAAACAGACGTTGTTGAACAAGATTTTGAAACTGGAGCTCCACGAATATTTTGAATAAAATTAGCATTGACAGATGTGCTTACACTCGCAGATGGTTCCAATCCAATAAAAGATGGGTGCGTATAAGAGATATAATTTTTTTTGGTAAACATGGAAATGAGTTGATCAATTTCCTTATCAGAATCATTAACCATAGCCTCAATGAGGTCGCAAGCCAATTTTATTGCATCAGCTGATCCTTTTATAGTGATCAAACCATCGGTGGAATTTTTTACTTTGTCCAAATCAATATGTGCACCTGAGACATCTCTGATTGCATTAATGTTACATCCCCCTCTGCCAATAATTCTACTTATAAATTTACTTTGTATAATTATCTTCTTACATTTTCTACTCACTTCTTTCCAACCTTCATCTTTCTTCTGAAACTTTTTGGGCACTGGTGGAAAAGACATTTTACGGGGAGAAGTCAAAACCTTTTGATAAGAGGTAAATGTATTATTATCTACCAAAATTTTTGGCTTTGATGTAACAGAATAAGCAAATTTAGAATCGTTACTTGAAGTGATTGTTTTGGAGTCATTAAAATCATCTAAATCTCCAATACCTGTGCCATAACTTGCACATGCTAACTTGAGAAATGAATATTCTCCATTAGAATTATGTGTGCTCCCAGCAGAAGAGTTAGGGCTTATTGATGGTTTTCCATTTTCACATATTTCAGTTTGGCTGAGAGTAACAGAATCTTTTGTATTGTCATTCACGGCGTTGTTATCTTCATTAAACTTGCAGAGATGTTTAGCATTCTTTTTCTCTTTTTTACTTTTCTTATTTATTTTAGAAAATTTATCATCTTTAGAGCCATCAGATAGCGAACTGGCCTTAGCCTGACCATTTTTATGGTTAATTACACAATCTTTATTTTCAATCACCGTTTCAGTATCTTTTTTCTTTTCAATTTTTACATCTGCTTCTTTAAACTTGTAAACGCTTGTTTCATCAACAATTTTCTTATCTTCAACAACTACTTCAATTTTGGTTTCTTGAACTTTGTCATTAGAACAATTTTCAAATTTATTATCTTCAGAAATATCATCAGATTTAACATAACCATCTTGATTTTGTTTCTTTTTCTTCTTCTGCTTCTTTTTCTCTCTTTTCCTGGCCGCAGCAGCTTTTCTTATTTCTTCTAAATTCTTCTCTCTGTCAAGTTCCAGTAGCAAATTATTCGCATTACGATTTGCTTCAGCAGCCTGATTTTCTCGAGCATGTCCTATGGCCTCCATACAAAGTTGGCATCTTTTTAAAAGATCTTTATCAACAATAGTAGATATACAGCGAAGACAGTCTTGCTGAGAAGGAAACTGGATGACATGTTTAACTAGCCATTTGACAACTTTGATGTGACCTTTTTTGAATGCAGCCATTAGGCAAGATACTTTTCGGTTGTCTTGGCTATCTACATCTGCCTTAGCATGAACAAGGTGTTGAACAACTTCCAAGTGACCTCCATTGCAAGCTAACCAAAGGGAAGAATTACCCTTTTTGTTCTTCACATCCACAGAGGCTTTTCTCGATAGTAAAAGCTCAACAAATTTGTGGTGCCCTTTGTCTGCCGCAATTGTTAAAGCAGTATCTCGAGAAGAAGGGACCGGTGCGGCATTTACATCAGCACCTCGATCTAACAACACCTTCCCAACTTCGAAGTAACCTCCAGATGCAGCTTCCATCAATGGGGTCAGCCCTGTTTTTGCTCGATGTTCAATGTTCGCTCTTCGATCAACAAGCACAGCAACAACTTCATGTCTACCCTACATGCAAAATCATTGAAATTTTTATTGTAATGCAAATGTTTATTAATTAAATGAAATTTTAAATATCTAACTGCCAACCTGGAAACAAGCCAGTGTAAGAGCAGTATTTCTATTGGTTTCTATCTGTGCGTTGATATCACTACCTTTGTCTAAAAGTAACTTTACTGTACTTACATGCCCATTCATGGCTGCTAACATCAGAGGAGATATGCCAAGTTTACTGCCTGTTCTTGAATTTATTTCAGCACCATGTTCAAGTAACAAAGTGATAATGTTGTCATAGCCCCCCGATGCAGCCAGACTTAATGGCGTATAATCTGAAACATTTCTATGCTCCTTGTTAGCACCTCTATTCAAAAGCAATTCAACAACTTCATATCGGCCTCCTGAACAAGCCAATGAGAGAGCTGAATCTTTTGTTCTTTCTGAATGTGCCTCAATGTCTGCATTGTGGTCGAGTAATAGTTCAACAACTGACAAATGACCTCCAGTTGCAGCCAAGATTATTGGAGAAAAACCTTTCTTGTCTCTGTGTTCAATGTTAGCATTACACTGTAGGAGAAGCTCCACTAACTCTGTATGCCCGCCAACACAGGCCAATGTTAAAGCTGTGTCATGATTGCCTTCTGTCTGTGCATCCACCTCGATGGAGCACTTTACATTGAGATGGTTGATGTCAAATATTGCTGAATTTTCTGTAGATAGAGGCGATGATGCACTTAAAGCATCAATAGCTGGCTGCAACATAAATGGAGATTTGAAACTTCCTTGTAAGTTGAGAAGCTGTTGTTGCTGCTGCATATTCAATTGTTGCTGCAACAACAGCTGTTGCTGCTGATTTGTCAGTTGAAAAAATTGGTTTTGTGTGTTGTTTACGTTGCCATGTATGTTGTTGTTAATGTATTTAGATGAACCAGGATTTGACTGCGTGCATGAGTTCCATGCAAAATTCTTTTGGTTAGACTGATCAATAGGAACAAATTGATGCTGCACTTGCATGAGCTGTTCAAACTGTTGCGCTTGTTTATGAAATAATTCTTGTGAATTAAGTGAGTTGGTAGAGTTAGCTATGATAATGGGATTTTGAAAGGAGGCTTCATTAGCTTTCATTTGTTGTTGAAGTTGTTGATGTTGAAGTTGTAGTTGTTGTGCACTTTGAAGCTGGTAGTGGTAAGCTTGAGCTCTCAATGCATCTTGAACGAAATACTGCTGATTATGCTTGCTGGACTGAAGATCTGTAATTGGAGCATGGCATTTAGGCAACAGATAAGATCCTTGTTGTGGCTGTTGCTGTTGTTGTTGCTCATACATGCAAGGAGGATTCATTGATGCATGCACTTGAAAGTGCTTCAAAATCGATGGATCATTCATCTGAAAAAGTACAAACAATAAAAAAATCTGCAAACTCAATTTATTAAATAAATTAAATAAAAAACGAGTGTAGAATACATGAAGAAACTTAATACATAAGGACACAAAATTAACAACGGTAAAAAGAGTACTGAAACTATGGTTGGTCTTTCAATGTTTTCTATTTATTATTATTTTTTTTTTGTCATATCTCTTCATGTATGTCTCCTTTGTTAGTCTCTATTTATTTTATTTATTGACAAACTGACTAGATATAACCTTCGTAGCTGCAGAAAGCAGACAGCATTGAGTTTTGCAACCTGAGGCAACATCGTCAAAGCACTGTCAAACATCACACCCAAGTTTGTACAATAATTTTATGTAGTACACACACTCTCTTTCTCTCTCTCTCTCTCTCTCTCTCTCTCCTCTCTCTCTCTCTCTATCTCATATAATATAATCTAATATATCCTTAATAATGAAGGTACTTCTGGCTCAATATCCTGCGCTGATTTCTAAAACCTTATTCAGACAATATCTATCCTAAACAACTCTAAGCCAACGCCTTTAAACATGAAAAGCATTTATTTATTTATTTACATAAATTTATTTTAAAAATGTAAAAAAATATGATGAACAACCATTGAAAATTGAGAATATGGTTTAGCAATTTTCATTTGTTCTTGCCGCAGTTGCCGTTGTTGTTGGAGTTGCTGTAACAAAACACTGTTATCAATCTGATTTTGATGTTGCCATGTATTATTATTATTATTATTATTCAATTGAAGTAGGTTAGATGTAAATACGTTGCTTGTGCCACTTATTACAGTTGAGGCATTTGTTGCTGAGAATGCATTCACCACTGATGGAGATGTGGAGCTGTTATCAGCAATATTTTCTAGTGTAAGTTGGTTTTGCTGTGGGCTCTGCAGTTGTTGTTTAACGTTTGACAATAAAGTTTTGTTAGTTGGAGCAAGAGAGCTAAAGGATGAAAATGATGGTGGTAAGTGTTGCAGTTGTTGGTTCATTATGTTTTGATTTGTAAAATTCTGAAAAATAGCATCGCCTGATTTATATGTTGAGCCAGATGCTAAAGCAGCAGCCAGTTGCTGTTTCTGCTGAAGAGTTGGTAATTTTCTGTGTCCTGATGGTACAATTAAAAATAATGTGTTGGAGAAATTAACCATTTCATCTTGATTTTTCAGAATATTATTATTAAATCAAATTATTTATTGATTATTCCTCTTTCTATACACCTCTATTAGAAATTCCAAAACATTAAAACTCATGTAACATTGTTTAAGACTCACATAACTGGTATTATGAAAAGGGTAGTAGAGTATTGAGTTTAACTGATAAGTTGTATTATACATAGTTTTCACAAAATTATTAAATTGATGATCATACACATAACAAATTTGAAAGATAAGTTGCACGTCACGTACCTCTAACAAAAACTCGTCCTGATTTGACTTGATTCTGATTGAAAGAGTCAGTCGGTGTGCTGTTTTTGGTAGACAAATGTTTGAAATTATCATTTGCCATTGAATACATGTTTGGTGACTTTTCAAACTTAAATTCAACTGCTTGTTCGCAGCTATTATCACTGCTGGAGCTTGTATTATTTGAAGCATTGCCGATACTGCCGTTGATGACACTGTTGTTACTGTTGTCATTCATTTTAATAGTTGATGTTTTGGAGTTGTTATTATTAAAAGTAGCGTTAAAATCAATTCGGGCGGTGGAGTCCTTGAAGAGTTGCGCTGTTGTTTTGGTAGTTGTATCTTTTGTTACTTCAAGTGACTTTCTAGTGTGTAGAGTTTTAGAAGTTAGCGCATCTTCTAATTGGTGCCACCTAGTGCAGGATTGCTGTAATTGATCATCATTTAATGTATGCAGTTGTAGTTGCTGTTGTTGTTGCTTGTGCAGATGGGCGAATTGTTGCTGTTGATGATGTTGTTGTTGTAGGAAATGTTGAGTGGCGATCTGTTGTTGTTGCTGCCATTGCAGCATTTGTTCAAATTGTTGCTGCCATAGTTGGCTTGGAGTCTGGTCAACGTTCAAAGAAGTTTTCTGTTGAGTGCATTGCTGCTGTTGTTGACTGGAAGATGGCCAGTTGATACTTGATGCATGATCGCTGCATGTAGAAGCATCACTCGACGTAGCATCCCACGACTTCTTTTTATCAACTTCTGACGAATGTTGGTCTTGCGGAGGAGATGTCTGCAGTGATGGTTGTTGAGGGTCAAGTTTCTCCTGTTGATCTGAAAATTTATTGAAAATAAATGAAAGTTAGTTTGATGTAAACTTTATCAATCAGCATGTTAGTCAAAAACAGCAAAATGTATAATACAAAATATAAATTTTATTTTTAAAAAAATTTAAGGAAACTTTTATGTCTTTGTAATACTGAAGAAAATTTGTTCCATTTAAGCAACAAACTACCATTTAAAAATTGTTAAAAAAAATTAAAATTTTGACTCCTTACAAGTCTTGACATCAAATTTTAAATTTTTGTATAAACAAATGCTAGCGGTCAATTTTTTTTGTAACACATATATTAAAAACGTAATAATATTATTTTAATGAGTTATTTAATGTTAGCACATTTGAAAAACACGTCAAATTATAAAAATTAAAAAAATTTATATTTCAACCAAATTTTTATTTAAAAGATTTTATCAAATGAATTTTTATTTTAATCAAGATAAATTTTTACATCACATCTAATTAATCTCATGATTGAACCCAAAACGAATGACTACATCTATCATGAACATATACAATTTTCAGGTAAAAAAAACTATATTCTCAATATAAGGTGAGTAATGTTAAAGATTTTTTGACGAATAAACCACAAAACTAAATTCTAAATGTTAACAAGTTTATTTTTAAATGAAAAAAAAACAATTTATTGGATTTTTAAAAAGTCAAGAAAAGAAAAAAAATTAATCATATGCAAACTTAATGATCATTAGAACTATAGTGCCTGTTTATTAAAAGTGTTTGAAAACGGCAGACTAATGAGTTATTAGCACAGAACAAATTATTAAGTGGCAAGTTATTAGCTGACAAGTTATTACCACAAAATAATTTGAAGAAATTTACCTGAGTTGGAATTATTATCTATGGTTGATGCAGGCAATTGTAGATCAGGAGCTGCTAATTCATCATTGTTGGGCGGCTGTGAAGTGCTACTTGAATTGTTGCTGTCCTCTGGACAGTTTTCATCAGCTTTAACTTCTTCATGCAGCTTCAATTCATTTTCTTTATTGAGTGAGGTGTTCTTAATGATGGACATAACATTTTCTTGGGGTATCTGAACAACCTGGAAGTACTGTACACCAAGACTGTTATCCGTTTGTGTGAAGTTGTTGACGGGGATGAAGTATTCTTGCATGTAATGCTGACCACCTTGTTGTTTTTGTTGCTGGCTATTCAAAAAGCTTTCGTCCAACAACAAGTTAGATGAGTTTGCATGTGCTTGGATCACAGGAAAGAGTGATGATGATGTTGAGAACGTTGGTGATGTTTCTATATTTTCACTCACATCGCCTTCAGTTTCACATCTGCTAAGTGGAGTTGTCAAATTCTTATCGCTACTTTCATTTGTGTGGCTATCTGATGGTAATGAAAGGAGTCCTAAATTTTTGACAACGTTGCTGAAAATATTTTTCAGTTGTTCAGGAGATGCTGTCGTGCACGATGACGTGGAAGATGAGAGTGCGTTACCAGCCAGAAGAGCGGAGAAGAGGGCATTGTTTGTTTGAGGATTTAAATCGTTCAAGTCTTTAGATGCTTGTTTAATGCAGGTAGGTGTGTATAAAAACTGAGAATCTGGCACCGAGTTCGACTTTAAATGCAAGTTCAAGAACGGTTGTTGGCCTATGATACTTGAATTATCTAATGGAATATTTGAAAACTTTTAGTTATTAACTATTACTATAAAGTAATCCAATTAATACAATTCGAAATTATCAGTATGAATATATTAGTTGTTGTAAGTGAAAATGATTCAGCTAAAATGTTTTATAAAAGTACACACTGGTAAAATAGCAGTTAGAATGACTGTCGCTAGGATGAAACGAAATGCCATCATTGCTGACGTTGTTGCTAGATATACCGGTCCAAAGAAATCTTGCCTCATTCATAGGCAGGGGAGTGAGTGATAGCTGGTCATTGATGTTCATCATTGCATCAATCGACACCAGGCTCTTTTGAGATAGATGAGAATCCTAAGAAAATATTTTTGCATTATTATTAACAAC